GCACCAAGGTCACTTGGGCTGTCATGCTGTCAAACAACTTTCAATGCTAAAAAGTATCTGTGTACACGTGTGCTATGAAGTTTGAAATTTAGTATTCATTACCACTAGTTAAGCATATCGGTATGTTTATGTATTTCATCAGCACCATTTAGTGATGCTTGTGGGGTGATGGGACATTCAGCTCTTGAAGGATTAAATACATAGTTTGGTTTATTTCTGGATCCCCTGGTTTTCCTCTTCTCTGTGCGTTTGTGTTTGCATGATTGCTTGACATGATACATTCGTAAGTTTGAATTTAAATTTGAATTCGGACATGCAGGTTGCTACTTTTGTCCAGCCTTGTCAATAAATATCACACTCTTCACTTTCCATGATAGATGCAGTTTACATGTACACGTGTACACCGGTATTTGTCCACCAATGACAACAGGGTCTGAAATAAATGGAATGACCTACGAGTATGTGGGAAGATGAATATAGACGGTATAGACACAGCCAATCACATGCACATGAAGACACGGACACATGTTCACGTTGTGTAAAAGTTTAAAAAATAATACTACAACTTGTTTGGTCTGGGACAAATCTGGACACCCAAATTTCACAGGCGGACTAAACTCAGGTTTTGTAAGTGGTACAAGCCTGGTCAAATCTGTACTGTTTGCGCGTTAAGAGTTTCTGCATGTATTGGTGCACTGGCTAGCTAGCTAGCCCTCCTATGCAAAGATGCATTCTCAACAGTTGTCCTATCAATCAAAATCAGTCAAGTGGCATACAGTGTAGGATATACAGTTGCCCTTCGGGCAGGGGAGTCTAAAATCTGGTTGTCCGAACTTCATTTTCAGTTGCCCAACAAGGAATTTTTAGCCACACGTGGTCTCCAAGCTTTCATGTACATGTATGTCTATGTACACGTACAGGGGAAGATGAAGGAATTTTTTACTGTTTTTGACGGTTACACCAAAAGGAGGGCTCTAGTACATTAGGCTGAGCATAAATTTTTAGACTTTTGCACATGCACGTAAATGAACATGTACCTACTTTGTTACATCCTCCATGCACCGGTACAATGATTCCTCCCAGACACAAAGTGGGCGCTGTTTGCTTCTGAGCTTACAACTCAAGTACATGTATCCGCACGCTCTGCCGCTTTTCTACTTTCCCCGGTTCCGATCAACAGTCGTCCCCAGCAGGCAAACCCTATGAGTAAGGGGCTCCTGTCTAATTGGACATCCTGATTGTGGGGTTATTTATTTTTACCTGATCCCAGGATGGCTTTGTGTGGTTGGAAAGAGGGGGGGGGAGGAGGGACTGGCTAAGGGAACGAGTCACGTTGAGAGAAAAAAACAGGTGCCCGCCAGCATTTCAACTGTCAAAGAAACTTTGTTTCCGGCTTGATGCTCCCGCGGGTTGGTATCCCCAAAAGTCTGTGCACGGTTTAATTTTATTCATGCAAAGTTGAGGTCTAAAGCTTATGTGAGGCTTGTACCCAATATGTACATGTACTGTACATAACATGTATGAATGTGTGTCAGCATGACTTGTCATGAGCTCCCCATCCCGAGGACAGGCAACAACATACATTTACATGTATTTGGACAGACAGCTTTTGCTTCTTCAAAATTGACGTACATGTACAAGCTCCAGTTTTTAATTGCTAGTAGTGATCATTTGACACCAAAGATTCCTTGAGTAGAAGTGCCCTAGGCACTGCTGCTGGCAAGCTTGAAGAAACCAGTAGAGAGGAGACAGTGGCAAGCAACAACAGTTTTAGAGGTGGGAAGAAAACCCTCAGAGGTATATTCTGGGTAAACCCACGGAATCAACTTTGGAAAATAAGTCTTCACATTTCCTTCCAAAATACCAGGTACCGTATAGTGGAAGTGTGGCCTTAGACAGTTTATAAAATTTCCTTGGAGAGGACAGGCACATGTAGTTTGAACCTTGGCTGGGAAGGAACACGCAGATGTTTCAATCCTAGATAAAACCCTCGCATGTACATGTACACGAACACACATGTGTTTCTTACTTAAATCGCTTGCAAAAGCTGCAGCAGTGAGGTTCCTGGCCCCTGGTGTCAGGAAAAATATGAAGCTCGGAAAACGTAAACGTTCCAAGGCATGTCTAACAACAGAACTCAACAGTGGTGTTCCTTTCTTTCCCAGAATGTTCCCGGGTGGTATTCCTTTTGTGCTTACTGCATTGTGTTGTACACAATGCACAATACACCAACATAAAGTGCATGTACACTGTACCACAACAGCAGCATATGCATACCGGGTACTTACAGGTGAAAGTGACAATGTACTTTCCAATAAATGGGGCATGTACACAACATACACGTACATGCATCCTGTGAATGTCAACTGGATAACAGAAAACGTACTGATTTAGCGTTCAACGTGTACATGTGCCTGCATCATGTGGTAGCCTGTTGACAGGAATGCAGATGCTCAGTCTTTGATTCAGAAGTGATCTCTGGCTTCAACACGTTACCTTAACAACCATAACATGTTTCCCTGGTTCTTGAACTGAGGTGTCACTTCATTCGACAGCAAAAGTGGCAGACTGACAGTGCCCTGTCACCTGGGTTTTGGGCTTATGGTTGGAAGGGGCATCGATGACCCTAAAACGAGGCTTTATTTTGGATCCACACCGATAAGGCTGTGCCGAATATCCGATCAACTGTCGAACACACGAATATTATTTTTCGAATAGGAATATTCGAATGCAAAATTCATGAAAAGGACGGGAACATCTTCTTTTGTTTTAAATGAGAAAATTGCACTATGGAGGCTTGTTTCAAGCAGATTCAAATGAAAAGCATCAGAAATCATATAACAATTTTAAAAGTATATTATTCATAAATGAATTTAAAAGGAGCAGAAATTTTTAACAGGGCTAAAAGTCATGTAAGTCCTGTTCATCTCTGAAATCTTGCTAAATCATGGCTGCAGACACTCCTAGATGTGAGACGCTATTTGTATTTACTAGCAAACTGTTCAACAAGATCGACAAATTGTGCACAGATCGAGCAATCATGCATTTCAAACACGTCAAAGTCATGACAGTTATGAAACACTAAAAATTATATGAATGATGGATAAAAAACAACTCGGCCATTCATCATTGTTCAGGGCCATCAATTCGGGGCCTGTTTGTTTCACATGTGGATCTGGATTGGGATCAGTGATCCCAGAGCTGGTTCATGCTATCCATTACGCCTAGCATGCCTACATGTAGGTACATGTAGGTAGGTTAATCTCTGTGGTAACTGGTCAACTCGTACCCGAGTTACTCGTACCCCAAAATTTACACCCAAGTTAAGTCGAACCCGAGTCAAGTCGTACCCGCGTCAAGTCTTACCCATGTTAACTCGTACCCGAGTCAAGTCATACCCAACGCACATAACTTAACTTGTACCCTATGAATTTCAACACTGAATCTGACCAATGGAAGCATTTTTCCCTGACATGTATTGTTGGGAATATTAAATTCAGATATTGAATTTGAAAAAATATCATTTGTCAAATTGTTAGTGCCATCGCCATGTTTTCTCTTGTTTTTAGAGATGATCCAGTGAAGTCTTGATGCGAATGGTCACACTGTACATCAGAGCGGGCTATGCAGCAGACATTGAGCGTTGCGGGAGAACGTTGTTGGAAAACAAACTTGAATATAAGTACAGCGTGCAGTATAAGCATGCAGAAAATGGAAACAAACACGACTGAAATTGCAGCTTTTGGCATGCAATAATTTGAGTGACTTTTTTCTTCCTGACTTGGTAAAATAATAGCCCGAACACCTCCAGCCGTACAGTTCTATCACAAACTTTGTAGTACAGTTTGCGACAGTACTGTAGTGTACTGATGACCGGAGGCACACAGGCCAGTATCAGTAAAATAAATTTATTAATGATGTGCTGTTTAAGATTGTAAATGTTTTGAGTGACTTCTTTTTGCAATAAAATTTGATAGACAAACCGAAGCAGTGTAATTATTTTTTTTTTTTGCAGGCGTTGTATACGTTACCATTTTGGGGCTATTTGGGGGCTGGCCATCAACCTTCCCGCTTGGATAGTCTTGGGAGAATCCACAATTTCTATTGTTGCTCTTTGAAGCACAATTGCAGCCACGCCAGCACGAAAAGCGATCATAATGGCGGCACTTCAAAGAAGTTTGTGGTCAAGTCTGCAACTTAACCATTGAAAGCGGCTTCAGTGTCATTTATTTTGGGGGTACGAGTTAACTTGGGTATGAGTTAACTTGGGTACGAACATGAGGAATTAACTTGGGTACGACTTGATCCGGGTACAAGTTAACCAGGGTACGAAATGACTTGGGTACGAAATGACTCAAGTACAACTTCAATGACCCAAAATCGGTTTTGTTAGTGGACCAGGCATGACCAACAACATTTTTGACGTCTGATCACGATCCAGATCCTCGTGAACTGATGAAACAAACACTGAAACCGGCCCAGGGATTGTCTGAGGATCTGGATCAAGACGATTCATGCATGGATCATGAACAAAAACATTCCTGCATAGAACACTGACCATGCTGACACACAACTGAACGTTACCCAATGTCACTCAAAATGGTCATGGTAACTTAGTTGGACGAGCAGCATGAGCAGTCCCGGGCCACAGCCCAGATGGTCGACTCGGCCTGAACAATTCTCTAACCCAAACGTCACTTCACCAGTCATGAATACACCTTGACACTGACTACATAAAGATTATACTAAAATATCTCACTTTTCAGATGAAAACAAATGATTCCCTTACCGTTTTCCTGAACAAACTTTACGGTGCGAATCACTCCGACGTTCCTCTGTTTTGGATCATCTTTCAAAAGGATATGCAGACACGTGATTCATTGTCGACGTTCTGATTGGTTAGTGGGGATGACCTAATTTTTCTCAGCTGAAGTTAATTAGCCATCACCCGTGTGGCGGCGCTATATCAAATTTACAGCGAATTTTTTAGTAGGAGCTGGGCCGGGCGCATGCCGCTTTTGTCAACAATGTTGACTTAGTGTTTTGGTGTAGGTTTATACAGGATTAGCGGTGTTTTAGGGGCCAGCATCAGTGATGACATCAAATACTTAGTGAAAACGTTCGTGTAATGTTTATTTGCTGTGCGAGACGTTATGTTGTGCCTTACACGCGTATTTACTTGGACCTACACTTCGTCCTCAACATTATTTGTTCAGGTGTGTGAATTTTAAACCCATAATCACTGATTTTCATTATGTGTGACTGTGAATGCAACATGTCAATAACCATTTCTACCACCGTGAATGCCACACATCATTTCCCATCAAGCATCAATTTCGCTTTTAGGACATGTCACTTCTGATGGCTGTTACAATATTCATGGAGGAATAAAACACAACATTTTACAGTGTTTTATGGGGAAATTACTAATTAGTGTTCATGGAACTCTTTCCCAGCTTAAATTTAGGGACAGATATTTTTGTGCGTGGTTTAAGAATATATTGAAATAAGACACAAATTCCAAATGATGTACTGTGAATGTGTTACGCCCCAACTATAGCATGTGTCCCAACTATAGTTGGGACAGTCCCAACTGTAGTTCTGCAGTTGGGCTGGCCTAACTATTGTTGACCAATGTCTGTGGGAAATGTCTCAACATCATCCAAGTCAATGTGTCCCACACTTGACACAATTCATATAAAATGTGGCACTTCATCTAGCCCTATGACCAATGACATGACGTTTGTAAACAATATGACTTTGGCACATGCAGGGCACATCGTGCACGCAGGACCTCTCTGCTGTAGTTGGGCCGGCCCAACTGTAGCACTCTAGTTGGGACGGGCCCAACTATAGTTGGGACTGATGCTATAGTTGGGGCGTGACAAATGCAACGTGCCAATAACTATTTCTACCTCCATGCAATAACATGAGCTATATATGCAATCACACATATGATTATGAAGCCAAACCACAGTTCACAACCATGCACAATGCATGACATCTAGATGCTCAACCAACCATAAAAACTTCACGTGTGAAATTAGGCTCCAATAACATTCGGGCTTTATTTTCCTTTAAAAAAACCCCTCCCTGCCCACAATTCCGACCCGTGATTCGAACCCACACCCCATGCATCACAAACCAATATGCCGTTACCGCTTGACTACCGCAATTCACACAAATTGATGGTGTTTTTACTGTTGATACAACGATAAACGGCTGCAACGCAAGTCTAATACACATTCGGCATGCGCAATACAAACACAAACATATCGTGGTTTGGCTTCATACGTATGGTTGCATATATATCTCAATAACATACATGTATACCACACATCGTTTCTCATCAATCATCATGATGCATATTAAACAGCCTCTTCGAAATTGATCTGTTGCGCATTTGGGCGCACGTTTGTGTTGTTTACACAAGACAAGCCCAAATGCTCATTTGCCAATTGTGTGTTAGTTTTTTGGCGCGCCGGCTTTGTTGATTTATCGTTTTGGAATACAGACACAGTTGTGATAACAGCTGTACATGTACATAAGCCATGCAGTATTGTAGTTTTCCATACACGTAGACTTGTGCGCTGTGGATATGCCTAGCAGACTTCACATGATCTGATGATGCGACCCACTCTGTGAAAATGAGTCTTACGTCGCCAGAGCCACTTTGGAGTAAGAAGTCCTTCAGAAAAATTTTTCATGTGTACATGTAAATTAACAGGAACCCACAGCATTTTTCACCATGGAGTATCCACTTTCATCAGGATGCCAAACTGAGTGATACATCAAAACAAAAAACTCAATTTGCTCATTCCAGTACAAATGAAAACTCAAAAAAGTGGCTCTGGCGACGTAAGACTCATTTTCACTGAGTAAGTCACATATTGTGATTTAGCGCTTTGGTATACATGTAGCCCTACAAGTTAGACCGTCTGACTAAAGTACCAACAATTGCTGTTCATGCAGGTTTATATGTGCTCAGTGCCTTATGTTATCTGTTTTTAACTGAAAGGCTGTGAACATGTATGATGTGGCAGGTGCCATGGAGAGCACATCGTTAACACTGGTAATTTCTTTCTTACTTGCTTTTTTATGTTTCCAGTGGAAAGGAATTTTGGTGAGGACTGCAATCGTGTATGGAGTAACTTTCCTCCTGGTTCTTCCCCTGCTGTGCCAAAATTTGCCATATTCAGTATACTTTGTCACACCCAGGGATGTTGAACAGAAAGCCCTCCAACTCAACCAGTACAGGGTGTCCGATGCTGAAAAGTATCTGGCGACACTGGCAAAAAATGGCCCGTCCAAGGCACTTCCCAAAGCGGGGAGCTTACGAATCGTCGTGGGGGTCATCAGCGTCTCTCGTAAGACCAGAACCTTCAGCACACAGTATCTCACACAGGTGATGGCGGGCCTGCACAAGATCATTGCCAGGCACGGAGTTGAGGACGAGGTCTTTACGTTCATCTGCACCACCCAGAAGGCTGGACGGAGCCACCCGGAGGCAGATAGGCTAGCGGGTTACTTCCATGTGGTCCGGTTCCCGCTGGACCGCCCGAGGCACGACGGCTGGAGGCACGAGGAGGAGAAAGAGGGCTATACTTTCTGCTTGGAATCGGCTGCCCGGTTTGACGCCAAGTATGTCCTGCTGCTGCAGGATGACGCCCTCCCACGTGCAAACTTCTACGAGGTCCTGGACCACCTGCTGCGTCACCGCCTGGAGAGGGCATTCGCCCATGGGCGAGCCGTGGTGGGCCCGGATGACTGGGCCTGGCTGAAGCTCAACTTCCCCAACGAGCTGGCCAACTTCCATCGCAGCCCCTTCTTCGTTGGCGACTGGGTGGCGCTGTCACTTGTCTTAGCCAGCCTCGTCACCATTACGTTCCACTTCTGCTCAGGACAGCTGTCATCATCACCCATCGCCAACCATGCATTGGATCAGAAGTCCCGAAGGCGCGGCCACCTTGCCACCTCGTATTGCATCTTCCTCGTGAGCTTTGCCTACTTCTTTCTCGCCTCCTGGCTCATCGGCCGGCCGTACTTCTTGCATCTCTATGGCCTCTCCAAGCACTTCGCCCGCCTGGACCCTGGCACCTCCTGCTGCCTGCCGGCAGTCCTCTTCCCCCGGGAGAGAGTGGCAGGCCTTGTGAAGTACCTGGATGGAGTGACATGCAAGCCGGGGTTCCCTCTGGACTTCGCCCTGGAAGCGTTCAGGGAGCAAGAGAGCCTCAGACAGTACCTCGTGGTACCCAATCTCTTCACGCACATCGGGTACTACTCTGCGCTGCACACTGGCACCAACAGGCAATCTGCCTACGCTTTCCTAGAGGAATTTTCATATCTTCCACCCTGAGCCGCCTGACCCATACACTGCAAAATTCACCAAAGACCGGAGAGCTGGCAAAGAAATCAGGAAGGTACAGCCCAGCCACATGGAACGTGATACCCTTGAAAGCTGCAGTCCAAAATTGGCCAAAGAGTTTTTGCGTAGACCAACAAGAATTCATAGATGATGCAATGTAGTTACAATTATTTCTAGCCATTTTGGTTGGAAGTTTGCTTATCTTCCAAAGTCTTAAGTGATGCATTAAATTTATGTGTACTTCAATTTCCGTATAGTCTTTGTGCAAGACGCTACTGTTTGTAATCACATAATCATGCGAACGTACAGCACATGAACCACTCTTTTCACTCACAAACTGCCATCACAGCAGAGGTGTAAGAAGTCTACATTTATCTGCTCAGGTAATTCAGAACACGCTACTGTGTCTCTGATAGTGAAATAGCAGTTCATGCGCTACGGCGTTTCCTGTAGAACAGAATTGCGCGTGTAATCCACTCCGAGCAGGAACAAAAGAGGGCATGTTTTGAAATGAAATTGACAGTCCTTTGGTACTCATGCACCGTGCAGGTGCACAAGTTTATATTTGACACGGAGTACTCTGAGTACGCACAACAAATTTAGCCTAGAATGTGTGGTCTTTGCTTGCACTGTGAACACGTGCTAGAACCCGGTCGGAAAACTTATCACCATCTGTCTTTCTTTTAACGGTGAGGGTGCACTTCAGCTCAGGCCCGATTAGGCCTAGGCTGTACGCCATGCTACTGCTGTGTGGAACTCAAAGAATTCAAATTTTTAAGTTCGGCATGGCAATAGCATGGCGTTCAGCACAATTCGGACTGGCAAATTGAATTCGGCACTGCAAGCATTTTAGCTTGACAGGGTATGGCATGCTATCATCGTTTCAAATGGTAGTGGCACCACGCTGCTGTATTTAGGTTCTGCGTTTAGCGCAGCCACCGCGCTCATTTTATTGAAGTTCGGAAGGGCGGTAGCATGGCGTGTAGTCTTGGCCTCATTGTTTTCTTTTGGTGATATTAAATTACAGCCACCAGCGCCTTGCATTGAGACTAATTTATTTCCAAGTAAGGCATTCAGCCCGCTTCATGTACTTTCATCATTGTGGTTGTACCAGCGTCCTCGGCTATTCTTGACAGTTTCCCCCAACTGAAGTTACAGATGGTAGTCCCAGTTCTGAAATGCCTTTGTACGTGTACATGTAGACAGAGTTTTAGGGACTGTGTACACCAGCTCATGTTGATTAACTTGGTTTATCACTGTTCTCTGTTGAAGGGGCCCTTGAGTATGTTTTTTATTATCTATCATTTTGGGTTTTTTTACAAAGTGTCTTACAAAACTAATTCAAATTGCATGTACATATTTGTACAGGTAAAATCATGTGCAAAATTGGCCTTAACTATTACCCTGTTCAAATTGTACATATTTTGTAAGGATACATGTATGTCATTGTACAAATTAGCTTACGTAATTTTAAAGAAGTATTTTTTTAAATATATTTCCGGATAATGCAATCACTGCAGAGTGTAATGTTTGAGATGTTGACAAGAAATGCTGCTTTATCAAGAAATACTGCGATCAGTGTTTATAGCCCTGTCTGAGTGTCTATCTTTGGATCCAACAGTTGAGCATTACTTCAGTTGGGAGTACAAATCCCACTTGCAGTAGGACATGGGTACGCCCATGTGAATGGAGTTTACCATAGCTAATATAGGCCATGTATACCTCGGCTTATTGTACTTCATTTTTTATGGATTATATAAAATGTACACGTACGTGTGGTTGACTGGAACCAGTGCTTGTAAAGAGTGTTGTATTTGAGTCCATCACAAGTCCTTTCACGAGGTTAGTCTTAGGGCTTGAGGGTGATCATGACGAGAATGCATTTCGAATAGCGTATGAATTGGCTTATTATTAGACTGAATGACTTGTGATGGACTTGCAGGGACTTGTGATGGGCTCAAATACCACATTGCTTTTAAAGCCGGTAGTTTAGTGTGAAGTATTTTGGTTACATGTTATCTCCTTGCAAATTGCTGCACTATGCTCTGAAATGAAGTAAATACCAAATTACTTTGAATTCTCGGGGTGAACAAACAAGTTTTAAGTTTGGATTGTTAACCGATTACTGAATTTTTATTTTTTTTTCTGAGTGTGCATAAATGGTTTCAAGTACTTACCCCCAAAAGATGACACGTACCTCCTATAATGATCGCATATTGGTCACAGGATTAAAGAGACGATAATCATGATAGAAATTTATACACAAGTACTTCATATCTGTAATTAACCGTAGTCCTGAAACCATAGCCCTGTTTGTAGATATATTTGGAGAAAGTCATACATACACAATAAAGGCATGGAGATAATTCTTGCGACTCCAAATTCTTATTCTCATTTATTCTAAAATGAAGTCCAGACAACGTCACAGAATAATTGTTATTCGTCGGTCGCAAAATTGCCAAAGTTACATGTACAATGCACAGTCAGATACCCAGAGGGAACTGTTGTGTGCGTGAGCCCTACAAAAGAATTAATACATAAAAAAATTCAATTTTGTTTTTCTTCTGTCTTTTTTTTTTTTTGGAAAGGTTGGGGGTTGTGGAGTGTCAAACCCTGCACTGTTTCTCAGTGAATATACATGAACTTTGAGATGCACTGGAAAGACAGCTGTTTAATATTTCATAAAATGACTTAGTAGTGGTGGCAGAAACTTAGTTAATTCTGACAAAGACATAGAAGAGTTCACAATTCTTAGAGCCGCAACCAACATCAGATATTAATTAACATTCTGGTAGATACAATGGTCAGTTTCATTTACCCCACGACAAACGGCAGTCTTGATGTCGGGGGTTTTTTCACGGGCACAGAAAATTGAAAGCAGTAATTAAGTTACAGGTAGACCGTGTAGACTGTATAATTACAGACAACAGCCTTCAGATACTGCAAGCAAATTCGTGTCAATGCCAGGCCAATTTGACGTGATGGAACGTCCACAGGTCAAAATTCAATCCCTACTGAAAGGGGTAAACAACTTTGCAACTGGCCAAGACTCGGACCTTGGTCAAGATTTGGACATAGCTCTTGTGTCCTGCAAGTTGTGTGGTTCTATCAGGTATCTGCATGATGTATGAGCTGGTTGAAAGTCTCCAACTTCTCATTTTTCTAAAAATGAGCAAACTAAAAAAAGTAGATACCCCAGTTCATTTATATTTGTGTGTAATTTTTAAAATAATCTTTTTGGGGGGGGGCCAAACAGCCATACTGAGAAAACAATGGAAATGAAAATTTGGAGGGAAGAGTCCTAAATACAAATTGGCAAAAATGCTTCAAACTTAAATAAATGACAGGCAAAATGTACAGTATAAAGGCTGGTTCATACTTCATGTGAATGTAAAATAGAAGCGACATCACGAAAGATCTGCAGTGATATTTAGCTCAAGTTGAAACGTGTTCAACTTGCAAATTGGCAGTGCGAATACTTGCTCTGATGTCATAAATTCGTGTTCATTTTTGCTTTTGCATGAAGTATGAACTGGCCCTGAGGGTGCCGTAACAAACATCCTCCACACGCGCAGGGTTCAAAGAAGGTTTAGCGCGTTGTACGTTGCCAGCAACTCGAAACGTGAGCGTTAAGGTAGCTTTGTTGTGTGACGGCAAGTTTAGTATCTGTATTTAGTGGAGTAATCCTTAGGGGAGACCACTAGACCGCGTCCTTTCCTCGCCCCTTTGAACACCGTCTCCACAATGTCTATCATCTCCTGTGGGTCCTCCAGTGCCCAGTTGATCTTGTTGTTGTTGCCTGTGCCCAGATCGATCATGATGTGCTTGTTGCGGAAGAAGAACATGGTGGTGCAGGGGTCGTAGAGCTCGTACATCTTGTTGAAGTCGGGCACCTCCGTGATGTCCACCAGGTAGATGACGGCAAAATTCTTGACCTTGTCGGCGATCTTATACAGGATCTCATCCATCTTCATGCAGGTGGGGTCCCAGTCATGGCCGAAGCGGATGATGACCACTTTGTCCTCGCCGTAGGTAATGGCTTGGTCCACCTGCCAGCCGTTGTGGAGATGGGTCAGCATGTACGACATGATTGTGGGATGGGTTGTTGAACGCCGCTTTGGGGGGAGGGTGACTCAAAACAGGACGCTCTGTGAAACAGATGAGGTGTGAGACCCTTTGGCCTGTTAAAAGTCCAAACAAAATTAAACAGTCAACATACAGTGCATCAAATACAGAAAGAATTCCATACAAATTTATACGGATGCTGCTTGACACCCTGTGCACAAACCATATGAGACTGGTCTGAAAACTTGTAAATACCTCCATAGTTTCACTGCTAAATTTGTCTTTTTAGGATGTATTATTGCTTTCAGATGGTCAGCAGATCACTGCAGGCAAAACTTAGTATTGTCTTCATTTGGAATTCTTTCCTCAAATACAATTCCTTCATAAAAATTAGACCATTGTAACAGCTTTATATTAATATCACCCGAGTGAGGTTGTGGGCGAATGGAGGTGCGATCAGCTAAATCAGCGTGATTGCTCAATCTTTGTGCAATCTGTTGATCTTACCACTTGACTGGCTGATAATTCTGTCGTCAGTCTTTTCTTCCTAATTCACAGTTCTCAGATTACGGAAATGGTTAAAAAAAAAGGGCCTATCTGTGGAATGACATGTAAAAGTGTGGTTTGCATTTACCCCCAGAACAAATCTGTGGGGTTTGTCGTCTGCAGCACTCCTATGAGCACAGCAGATGATGAAGCCCGACAGAGTTCTGGCACATCTGGGGTACACGTAGTTTGCATTTACGTCCACATGACCAACTTGTAGGCCTTTGTATGATTGAAAGCATGGGATGCTGCAAGGATGTTATTGCCTTACTTTGGGGACAAGGCTTCTAACTTACATCATAGAGGAAGGACACAGAAGGAGTTTGAAGTGCCCGGGCTGTAACATCTGGCCAATTACCACTTTCTAGCATACCTGGTATATCCATAGCCAGAGCGCAGCAAACGCTTGCTACACACAATCTGTTTCATAACCACAAAACCCCTTTGTACCCTATGATCGCCCCTGCAATTTGTCGATGGTAATCTGCATCCTTAAAACTTTGTGCACTGAGGTATAGGAAATTGAATATTCATGCCTTTGTTGGTGCTTGGTATGATCTCATGACATCAAATTTAATGCTAGTTCGGTTGCTTGCATTACGCTGTGTGCTCTAAATCTACATGTGCAGTCATTGCCCTTAATGAGCTCTTTTTTTCTGGAGTTATTTTGGGAATAAATAACCCAGTTGTTTACAAGATTTTGTGTTTTGTTTGAATCATTTTTATTATGGCATTTGTACAAAAGCATATTTTATGAGATATCACGATCACTCCCTGTGATGAAATAGTGCATTTTGTTCCTAATGAACTAAGCTTTCAAGCAGTAGTGAACATTTTGTTGGCCAGTCTTAGCCAAACTTGTACCAAGTCTTTGATCACTGATGTATTGGACAGAGGAGAATAAAATTACACACTTTGCATGTACAATGGAACAGTGTATCAACATTTAAAAAGTTTATTTTCAATGGCAAAAGTAGGTCAAATATCAGGGACTGTTCTCCCTTTCCTGGTCACAGCGACAATTTGTATTTAATTGCAAGCAAAAAACTTACAAGTATTGCTACGATATTACTGGCCCCACTTATCCGGCTAAGATTCAGGTAGTAATCGGGCATTTTTGGAATGTTTAACTTTTCTATTATTCATCTGACTCAGGGGCGACCACTTGAACACTTTGAAGTGCCTCAGTTGCAACTCCTGTGTCCTTCCTCTATGCTTACATGTACAAGTTAGGGCCTAACTAACGTAAGCCTAGGCCCAGGCTATTAAAAGCCAAAACACTACTGAAGTTGGAGTACATGTAAGTTCGATCATAGAGCTGGGTTTGTAGCTCTATGGTTCGATCAAGAACTACTAGTTAACTAGTGCCAGTAGTGGTTGGTTCGTGATGTACCTAGCGCATGTGCAGTGAAGTTGCAGTGCGAACGACCCTAGTCAACTGTTGTCAGGTCATTAGGCCAAAGGGGAAAAAAGATTATTATTTTTATTATTATGGTTTATTTGACTGTCCATAGCAGCCCACAGGCTGAATTAAAAACAGGTTACACAAGATATTAAAATGACAAAGGTTATAATGCATAAAATTAATGATGTAATATTACCATAAAATTGTAGAATATAAAATATGATCCCCCCAAAAAAGAAATACAGCCAAAACGGATTGCACTATCAAATAGCCCTAGCATGAAAAGCCAGATAACCAGATAAACAAAAAGGACAAGAGGACAAAAAACACATACACAACCCACAAGCCAACAGACACCTGACATCATCAACCAACAAACACATAGGCCCCAGATGGCCACAAGAAGGGCAAATTAGCAAAAATAAAAGTGAAAATAGTCATTCAGGCAAACTAGTGAATTTTTTTTTCCAGCATAAAAAATACTACGCCATGGCTGTTGTTACGGCAGCTGTAACGTATCTCCCATTTTCTATCGTTATGGTACTGCAACTGCGCAAACGCGCAAACTTAAGTGCAGATTTCAGATTTCATGCTTAATTCCCTTTAAAAAAAATCCTCCAAAGCCTCCGATGAGAAAAGAATAAAGGTTCCTACTTGGGCTTATACAATTAGAAACCAACATAAAAAACAATTATGGTATAAAACATGAAATTTAGGCAAAAAAAAACTCACACCAGTGGTTCCGAATCTTCCACCTTGACCACTTGGCCATTAGCATTCAACGATCCAGGTAATTTTACAATATATAAAGCGTCGTGATAATCAGCTACGTTGTCGCACTTGCGCAGTTCAGTGCTGTAATGACAGAAAATGGGAGATGCATTATGGCTGCCGTAACGATAGCCACTTCGAAAATACTGGGCCTATAACCAGATAACTAACTGGTTCTCTCTGCACTGTTCTAATTATTTAAAAAACGGTTTATGGCAACCAACAACGCGACCAACCTTGATAGGCTTGTCGCGAATAGTAGACTATACTGGTCCACCCACCGTCGAACAGCCAGAGTTAGGCCTCGTCGAGTCCTTGATCGAATTTGCCCTTGTTTGAACACGTTGAACAAGCAAAACAACTCACACTGTCAAAAAATCTTCAGATCAGAGTAAGCTGCCTCTCTCACCACTACCAAAAGGCTTGAAGTACCAGTCGATATTATTAACAAAGACAGCAAACAGAAGAAACTGGCGCATTTAAAAAACAAGTTCAGTCAAATGAGCTTCATAGGCTTTGCTTCTTAACGGAAAATGACGACAATTACTGCTTCAGAGGAAGCGGTTCACATTCGTCCCATTTACGTTTTTTGTTGGTTTTTAGTCAGCGTCCCATACTTTGGTATAAACATACCAAACCATGAGTCACCATGAGTGACACGAGGTACCACACAAATTTGCAAGAAACTTCATTTACTGGCACTTCACGTTCGTCATCGGCCGCCATACATGTAGTTAATTGTGTAACTGGTACCGTTGCCTATCGACGTGTCATAGCGAGGGCGAAGTCGGGTGGTTACCAATGCAGTTCAGAAGGAGAAACATGGCGGCGCTCACTGTAGCCCTTCGAAAAACATCCACTTTTCCGAGTAAGTTTTATGCAGTGGTTTCAGGTTGACATGAGATAAATTCCCACCAAATTCCTCTAGTAATAATTTGGAAAGTATTACGAGGTATAGAATTGTATATTAGGTCTTAATCAAAAAGTACTGTGCTTGAAGGGAGTTAGAACTGTCCGGTTTTTTACAATCTACGGAAGCATATGATATAGTATGTTTTTAATTTTTTTTTCAAATTGTAATGGTTTGGTTGGGTTCGTTTGTGTGATTTGACCCGGGCCCAGTTTCATGGCACTCCTGTCTAGTTAGCAGAACAGTTATGCTTACTTTATCATGAAATTTTGCTAGGCCGAACAGTACGCACGTTTTAGCCAAATTTTCCTCTGAGGTCAGCGTACCTTTGTGACCTTTTGCTGTGCTTACTGCCTACGGTCTCCGTAGGAAAGCAACTCTCTGTGACATCAAGGTAGGAGCTGTGTGACTTGTGTGTGTGAAACCAAACTGCTTCATATCGACAAGTCAACGGTGTTTTCACCTCGTTGCGACCTTGGGTTGCAAAAGCTCCCAGATGAATGCATACAGTCACGTCTGTCGGTGCTCTATGAAATTTGGTCAAAGTATCCTATTCTTCAACAATATTTATGTGATACAAGTGCTGTGAATTGCTTAGAATTCTGAGCTGGATTCTTCATGTTCAAGCAGATCACATTCAATTTCACTCCTGGATGGCCTCGGTCAAATTTTTTCCACCAGAGTGTATACTACGGCCAGTAGTCGCCTGCGCCAGCGAGTCGCACCACCGCCATGCTGGCACGTACCACCACTCGCTCACGCCAAAGGGGAGGGGCGGACGGTCATCATTCAGTGGCACCGTGGCGGCCGTGTTTGGCGCGAGTGGGTTCCTCGGGCAGTATGTCGTCTGCAGACTAGGTAAGAATTCTTAACAAGCACAAATCTTCACACTTCGCTTGTCCGACTGCCCTTATATGCTGCTGGGATCGGCTATTTTCTTCAATATGCAAGACGTAATTTCTTTGAGCTGTCAGTAGATAGGCTTTGTTTGAACAGTAACACACACAGTCAACGCTTCCACACAGGCATGATATGGACACGCTGAGCGTACTTTAAGGTAGCAAACATCCCACCATAGAAATATGGAAGGGCTGCGCAGCACCATGACCGGAATATTGACAAGAATATAATGTAAAGTCAGTGCTCTGAAACATGTAATTGCCAAGCTTTCGGTAACTGAGTACCTGAATCTGCTTGCCCTGAAGAAGGTACTCGGGTACCGAAAGCTTGGCAACTACATGTTTCAGAGCACTGATTTTATATTATATTCATGTCAAACATCCCGCTGTGCTTTGCACCTCTGTGGGTCTGACGTACTTCCTTCACCGAGCAATGTGAAGGATGCACGTACCTAGATGCCCCGTTGGGAAATAAGATAAATTCAAGTTTTTGTCACCAAGCAATGAAATTGAGGGAACTAATCGAATCTGGAAAAGTTGAAGAAAAAACTCTCTGCCACTTTGTGTCACAGGTCGCGAGGGGTCACAGGTCATGATCCCACATCGTTGCGATCACTACTATCTGATGCACTACAAGGTCATGGGCGATCTGGGCCAAATCCTCTTCAGGGTAAGTGCAGTTCTCCACTGCAGTCCTAAATCGTACGACAAATAATGAGGGAATATCGCCCCCAACTCTGAGGCTCTGAGTGAGAAAGGGTCGTGTTACGACGAAAGGTTTGCCTGCTTGTGTCTCCAGTTTGGACTGTAAATCATGGTTGTGTCCCGAGGTCATCATGGAAACAGTTCTGGAGCCAAGGTGATGAAGTTGAAGATGGTCCTCAACACCCAAGACTTGCGGGCATTGAAGCATTCATTTCTGTTGCACAGGGCTAAGTCATGCGCAACATCTACAGGTAGCTTACAGCCTTGCAGTTTCTTGACAATTGTGTGTTTGCGTTCACAGCAATGCAATTTGCGAGACCTGGACCTCATCGCGGACATCATGAAGCACTGCAACGTGGTGATCAACCTGGTGGGCAAGGACTACGAGACGAGGTGAGCCCTGGCACCCGCTCAAGCCACCGTATTCCTCAAGGTTTTCAAATACTACCTGAAACTCTGCTTATCTTTCAAATTTGTTAGGTCACGTAAAGTCTCAGTTCTTAACATTTTGTAACTTTGCTTTGCATTTATTGAGGTGAGCCTTACCAGTGAACTTCGTACCTCTGGACGAAAATGGTAGAAAGTAGTTTTGCCTTATATTCGTCTTGCCCTAGGAATTTTTCCTTTGAGGACACGCACATCGAAGGTGCTCGTAACTTGGCCCGCATTGCCAAGAAAATGGGTGTCAACCGATTCATTCACGTGTCAGCACTCAACGCCGACATGGGGTCACCGTCCAAGTTCCTACGAACAAAGGTGAGACTGCCCTCCGTAAACAGATAATGAATTTTCAGTCAGTAGTGGCAGTTCATGCGTTGCAAACTCATCCATCTTAGATACTGATTGACACAAAACTAGTCTCTCAAGGCCATTTTGTCAACAGTTGTTCAAGGTTGGTTCCTTGGAAAGAAGGGTCCCTTCAGTTTGTGTACCACACAAGGTGCTGTGCAAAATGGCTTCATAATTTCGTACTTCATACTTGTGAGCAGCGAGACAGCTTTGCTTGTACACACTGTAGGTTTTTGCATGCACACGAGATTGTTTTTCCCCAAAGAGCAATAATCATGGGTGACATTTCTCAGCTTTTTAGCTGATTTCAGCATTTTTTGTTTTGGATTTCTGCTTTTTTTCCTGGCTGGCTGCGTACAAAAGTACAAGAGATTCTCACAGTTCAGCTTCTTTATGCCTTTTTTTGCAGCTGTTTTCAGCTATTTTTATCATTGGTCAATCTCACCCCTGAATAATGTTGAGTAATGTTGTGAACTGGTTTATAACCGGAGGGCTGCTGTATGGTCCTTGTTTTGTGACAGGCTGCAGGCGAGACCGTGGTGAGGGCGGAGTACCCGGATGCCACCATCCTCAGACCGGCCCAGATGTTTGGCAGGGAGGACCGCTACTTCAACCACTTTGCCAGTAAGTCCAGCCGCCTGTAGCTGCCAAGATAGACTCGTGTGGCAGGCCCGAGATCTACCAAATGGCATTCAAGTACAGTTGGGAAGATGATTCGGGTGTTGACTGACGCCGTATCATTCGGTGCGGAGTCAGAGATTCCGAGGTCATGGAAAATCCTGGGGGGAAAAAAGGTTGTCCTGGAAAATCATGGAAAATTGGGGAAAATAGATTGTACTGGAACCCTGTTGTCAGTGGAAACAAATCATGGAAAAGTCATGGAAATCGAGATTATGCAAGGGTTATTTTTGATGGGCTGGTATTGACATGATAACAGAATGATAAATGTACAGGCCATTTCCCTGTCAATTGATAGTAGTGGCTCAAACAGTCCTCGGGTCATAATACCAAAGAACTTTTCTATGCAAGTGGCGTTAAATGTTATGGAAATCATCCTCTTTTAGTCATGGAAAGTCCTGGAAAAGTCTGGACTTTGGTCTTCAGAGTTGTGCGAACCCCGAAGTCTCTCAAGCAAAGAACTTTTCTCTGCAAGTGGCAGGGGCTGTGGATGTCACAGCTGGGGGGGGGAGTTGTAGAGATTTGTGCAGAATTCTGTCTTCTCACATATCCTTCATTCTACAGATCAGAGATTCTTTGGTGGTGTCCCGCTGTTTTTTTCAGCAGGCCACATTGTCAAGAGGCCGGTTTATGTAAGTCACAGAAATGTTGCACTGGCAAGTTTTCTATCTGAGATAGATTTCGATGTCTTTTAACCACTTCCTGCCGGGGCAGTTATTAATGTTGATGATGCTGGGCCGGGATATTTATCATTTTTTTCTGTTTTCAAAATTCTTTAAAAACTCCTATCTTCATTTACTGGACACTCACAAACACGTGAAAGACTGTCTGGTGTCCACTCTAGCCTGACAGACAAAATCTATTGACGCCTGAGTATTTCCGCCATGCCTGCAGCCTTGTAAAAAGAGCCCAGATTATGCGGTGTTATAACTTTCTTTTGTTCACGAACCTGGCTCAGTGTGCTGCTGACCTCTTGTCAATAAGGACCAGATTAGCATGCAGCGGTGCTGTGTGGTTCACCCCTGTGGTGGTGGATCGCTTTTGTCCCCGTTGGTAATCCGCTCGCTCTAAATGCCCCAAACCGTGGTATACTGTTCAAAAAAAAAACTGGATTATCTCCACTTTTGAGAGCGAAAAAATGTCCAGCAGCCTGGTCTTTTGTTCCGAGTATGGTCTTTTGTTACAAGGCCCTGTTCCCTTTGTCCGAGTTCGGAGACCCTGTCCACGCATTTAAAGCATACGTGTCCGGATCCAGAATCCCTGGCAGGAAGTGGTTAAAGTGTTTTTAATGCGGGTAATTATTTTCCCATTTCAAAAAATTAAATTGTTGTTTTTTTTTTTTGTTTTTTTTTGGTTACCGGGCCAGATCCCTGTAAACTATGTACAGGTAAATTGTGAATGCTCTGAACTTTGGATGCCGAGGTTGGAGGAAAAATGACCTAGTTCTGAAAGAAATCAGTCATAGCTTTCAATATGGTTCAAAAACTGTTGGAAATTTTCACCGCGGTCTTTTGCAGATTGTTTTGACTGTATTCAGTTTCTTGTTTTTGCACAGGTGGCTGATGTCGGACAGGCCGTCATGGAGGCCATCCGGAACCCAGAAACGGCCGGCATGACCTTTGAACTTGTCGGGTAAGTTCCTCGTGTTGTTTACTTAATTGCAAGGCAGTAGACCTGTTGAAAAGCTCAGCGGGAATGATGGTAAACCGACAGGAGCTCTGATGCCTTTTATATTGGACTCCCTTTTCATGGAAGGGAGTACAGAAAATTGAGAAGAATCCCGAGACAAACAATAATTTATCATCACCCCTTCGATGCAGTGATCGCCATACCAAAGAATTACAGATGACACGCCATTACTTTACTCCCGTGCTAAACCCTCTCATTCTTTTGTAAACATTTCCCCTCGTTGACTTCTCCACTCCCTACAGACCCAACGGCTATCTTCTCCCCGACCTGGTCGATTTCATCTACCGGGTGACACGGAGGCCCTACATCAGGTACCCCGTGCCCAGGTACCTGCTGCGCTTCGTGGCCGGGATCCTAGAGAAGTCGCCCTTTGAGCCGCTGATGACGAGAGACATGCTGGAACTGGTGAGTTGATGTCTTTTTTTTTTCTCCCCGGCTGCGCTCCGGAATTCCAGAGCTACAAGTGTGTGCATCGCCGGCATGTGACCACATATTCTCGACTATATAGGACCCAACTCTAGACACAGATTCATATGAAGCTTGAGTTTCTTCCTGACCCAACATCCTTGATGTTCCTTCAAGGGAGCTTCCAAAAAACTATAATCCTTTACGATGCAGGAAGCCAATTGAACACTCTCTGAACTGAAGTCTCGAGGGGCATTAAGCCCTACGTAAGGCAAAAGTGTCCGGTTTCTTATTTTCCACAATATTGACAATCCTCTGAACCCTGGTGGATTTTGAAGGGTCTGGAATGGTCAAGGTATAGTGACCAATTTTTACCTTCAGCCTGTTGTCCACTCGTGCACCTCTGTGACTATCAATATTTGTGGATCAGCTCAGCACATCTCTGAAACCTTTAGTGGTTGCATGGGGCACGGCAGGGCGACACTAGAGTCACATCCAGTCCTCACTGATAGGCAGTACCTTCAAAGCTTGAGAGAGTTTACCAGCTGCTTTATCCCTAACCCTGCCAGACGCAGCACAGTGCATCAGGTGAAAAAGTCTGGCGTACTTTGATGCTGTGGGCAATCAACAGCAGCTGAACAAACTGGCCATGTTGAGACAATGGGCGCTAGTCCTGTTGAAAAATGCCACTGTTTGATCTTGTGGTGACTGGCAACCACGGACTCCCAGGCTGTTTGGCTTTTGGGAGGGTTAACCTCTTGAATCTTGTTAATGCACCGGGTAGGTAAGCCACTTTGACAAACGATGCAGTTTGATGCACCTGGCAGGTTTTCTGGCCAAGTACCCATGGAGGGTTAGGGTTAAGTTGCAAGTATACTTTCAGTACAGTAACCATTAATGTCCAGAACCTAGTTCATAACTGTTGTTGCCTTGCAAGTGCCAGGTATAACCACTGTCATGTCTGTATCTCTCTTTTGCAGCAACACACTTCAGAGAATGTCACTCCTGGCATGCCAGGCCTGGAGGATCTGGGCATCACCCCGACGCTCATCGAGATGGCAGCGATCCGTGGCCTGCGCAGGCACCGCGCCGATCGGTACTTCGACCTGGGCATCGACGAGGTCGAGCCGGCACCAACTGTCAAGTAGATGCGAGGATAGTTCCCTCCGACTTCCTAAAATGTACATTTTATTATATCAAAGATCTTACAGCTACGCTCGCTGATTTGTTGACAAGTTTGCAGTTTGTGGCTCCCGTGGAGATATGAATTATAGCGTAGATCCTGCAAAAATGGGTACACTGGTTCTGCTTAGAAATTCTAGGAAGTTGCACGGGTACAGAACGAAAAAGAAAAGGCCTAGGATGTTGAGCACTTGTGCTGTCAAGTGTGTATTGCCCAAGACTAGAGTGAAAATAAAGGGGAAATACTTTAATACTGAGGTAACCTGTTGGGAATTTGCAGCACCCTATTTTCATCTGTGACCTGTCAACACACAATGAACTGCAAGTCAGAATTTTCAAAAACTGAGATATTGGTATTTTTTAATTCAGCAGAAAAAGAGCTTTCCAGTGGTATGTACATGGAACACTTGGGGTAGAAATATCAGGAGACAAAGTGACATTATTCTGGCAGCTTTGCGTCTTTGTTCCCGGCATTTTTTCACAATTTCAGACCAGGCACAAATAATGCCATCATCAAAATTGCTGAGCAAATGACATTTGTAAATTACATGATCCTGTGAAATATTTTGAATTAAAGAGAAGACGGGTTACTCTTTCCAAATATTACAAAACCTCAAAATTGACCTTCGCTTCAATACGACTTAGACCCTCAAAATAGGAAAGAGTGAGATGCGACTTTACTCTCATTTTGTCGTAACAGGTCACATTTTTCGAGTTGTGATAATTAAAGAGCACCAAACCTGTTGCCAACTGAAAAAAAGACGCCACTTCCAGAATGTGGCCAGCATGCAAGGGAGAAAAAAAGGTTGACAAATACATGCTCTTTGGTGCAGCACAAATTTTTCGAGTCGGTTCCTCAATGTAGCCATTTACTTGAGAGCTTTTGTTTGCAGGTCCAACCTGAAGGGAAGGACTGGTCTTGTAAGACGGAAACAGAGACAAAAGTATGATTTGTACAGACTATATTGCAACCAGGAGACACAAACGCAATGAGTGAATAAAGTTAATGTTGAGTTTGGAAATTCCAGTGTGCCTGTGTTTTTGAATGGCAGAATATTACATAGACCATTTCAACACGAGATACACACAACATTAAGAAATTAAAACCAGTTAGGTTTGGGCGCGAACTATAGTTTGACCATTAGCCAATAAGCCATTTGCGAGTTAAATAAAATAAGAGAGAATAAAATCTGGTACACTGAGTTCTTGAAATTCACATGTACATAAAAACTTGAATTCTCCATATTAAAACCACTGTTGCTTATACCCAGCAAGAAATGAGACCGAGGGGTACCCCCCCAACATGTCCAATCCCTATACACATTCCAGACTATTGTTACTTAACACATCTCCCCAAAATGTCTGAAAGGAATTCCCCAGATTCCTGCGAGACAATGACCAAAACAAAGCAGGGGGGGTTCTCTCCGTCTCATACCTTGCTGCATATGCTGTTGCTATACGTCTTGATTCGGGGCAAGCTTTTGTTTAGTTACATAAGAGACACCTTGCAACAATACACTGTTCTCAGTGGATAAGAACAGCACAAAGGAACCAGTCCATTCCAGAGATGGTGGTCGCTATGCAATAGCTTGCCCCGAATCACGAGGTATAGCAACAGTGTCTTCAGTCTGGGGAATTCAAATTGTTACGCTTCTATGCAATCAGATAACACAGTGTACCAGATTTTATTCAAATTTAACTTGCAAGTGGCTTATTGCTTTTTAACAATGCGCATGTACAGTTCTGTTACACTTGAAGGACCCTAGTTGGTCATTTTGTAAAAATATCATCGTTACATTTTGCCGTTGGCTGCGATTCTCACAGTGTAGATGGTCATTGAAATCTCGTACAGTTATTTTCATGTGAATGGTTCCCCCGTAATGATAAATGAAATCGGCTATTGATAAACCAGCGGTACGACCATAACCCTTGGGCCTGGTTCAAAATGGTTGAAGTTCCGGCCATGTTAGTCAAACCCTAGTTAACTATAGTCAATGCTCGAATTTGCCCTATGCATATATTAACTTTCCCCTTTAGACTGGTTCCCATTCCCTTCTTTCAGTGTCTAAAAAGATGTATGAGAAGGATCAGGGACCAGCTAAGATGCTGTCCTCGCTTTCCCTGGTACGCAAGTCCTGGCTCCCATATATAAGTGGACGAACTTGCACGTGGACCAGTGAATTCTAGTGCCTTCCATTTGCTCCTTGCCAAGATTCATTGCGCCCTCGTTTCAGTGCACAGAGATCATCCAACAATGAAGTCTAGCCTTGAACAAGATGCAAACTGCTCCTATCTAAAAACTGCACACATGAAGCTGGAACACTGAGCACACCCCAAGTTGTAAAAATGATCGATTTTGGGTAGCCACAGCAGTCGTATCATTCAAGAGTTTCTTATTTTCTTTCACAGCCGTCAGGGCTTGGCTTTTCTTTTCTCGCCTCTACCCTTTTTCCTCTCGGGCTTTGCCGACGTTGCTGTCTGTGCTTCTGTTGGGTTCCGGAAAGGTGTTCTCTGAAATCATGAGAAAAGAAGCATGTAAGTGCAGACATAAATTTCACGCTGTCACATCTATCGTTAGGTAGCATTTAGCAAAAGTTGGATGACGTCCTCATAATACTGCGACTCACATCCAGGGTGTCAATCTGTCTTGAGCAGAAGCACCCCCTTCATCGGTTGAAAAGAAGAGTGTTGATCGGATGCGACTGCAAAACGTGCACTTCATAATTGTTCGTGAACCAGCGAAGTTCAGTTCTGACTAACGGTGCCTCCCTTGCTAAGAAAATAGCGCCCTCTCTTGGTCCAGCTTGAGACCCATTCATCCTACCATGGCAAACTTTCATTACAAGACTTTTTTTCCCCACATTTTTACCTCATGGAGGTTGCTGAAATTTTGTTCACCTGTTCCTTAAGCCCCACTGCTGCGTTCAGAATGTGCGAAAACATCCTTGGCCAATGTGTATGTAGAAAATATTCACAACTCTGCACCTCTGTCGTAAATATCCTAAAGGAACTTCTTACATGAAGACTTACATGAACCCAAGCGTGAAATGCATAGCAACTGTTAGTCTTTCATAGAGCAGGGTGCCAGCCTAAGTTGAAAGTCTTCACACAAGAGGTTCGTTTGGGATATTGACGATGAGGGGCACGAAGCAGTGATGTATTTTCCACAGACATGTCACCCAACGACGTATTTATTCTGAACCTAGCAAGTTGGTAATTCAGGATACAAGGAACATTTGAACAAAATTTCAGATACCACGGTCGGGTAAGTACATGTATGTGAAAAAAAGAGTGCTGTGAACATTTTTGCTGAGGCAGAATGAATCGATACTGTGGGTGTCAGTCACAATGCAATGAAAATGTGGTCCAACCTGGACTGGCAAAGAGACAGTATTGCCATAGAAACCGCAGAATATTTGACGTTTATGTCCTTGACTCCGTCGTATGTAGTGGCTCTGTGGAGTATAACTGGTCTTACAGCCCCCACTCAAAGCTTAATTGAAGAGGATCGGTGAGATAATTCCAGCAATTCAGACTTATGAAGTCTGCGCTTTTACCTGGGATTTCTTGATCTTGGCCTTCAGAGCCTTCACATCAACCCGGGTGTCTGTTGTGGTTGGTGTCTTGGGTTTGGTCGCCGAGGGCTCCTTAGGCGGGACAAAGGCTTGGTTGCGCTTCTCGTGGCGCTTGACCTCAGCTTCAACCTGCTTTGCCTGAGAAAGACACACCCCCCCGAAAAACAAACCATAAAATAATTACAGCTGCACGTTGAACAAATTCACAAATTCACTTTGCGAAGCTGAGGAAAGTTTTGAGATATTTGAACATTTTGTACTGGAGGTAATAAGTGGTCACTTAGAGTAAAATGTCATGTTCATTACGACTGACAAATGTACACTTGGGAAATTTAATCTGAGATCTGAGTGCCATTCCATGAAATCCATCACTGGACACCAATTTTTTAAAAGGGTGACGTCTAGGGTCAACAGATTTCTTCGATTTCCATGAAGACGCTACTGGGGTCCCAAGTGATTTTTGACACCGCACAGGACCCGATGACCACTCACCTTCTTCCTCTCCCTGGCCTGAGCCTTGCGCTGGCTCTCCTTTAGGAAGTACTCGCCAGTGGCCAGCTCCCGGTCCATCTTGCTCTCGGGCTGGGCCGGCGGGAAGGGGGTGTACTCCTTGGCCTTTTGCCGCACCTTGCGCGGCCGCCGGCGCTTGGCCAGGTTCTTGGACTTGAACTGAGGCAGGAAGCGGTCCCAGGACTCGTGCTTGAGCTTCTCGTCCTTCATCAGCTCCCGTTTGATCATCAGTGTCTGGTAAAATAAGAGATGGAGAGAAGTGAGAGCCTAATGGAAGAGCCCCATCTGATCAGAAATGCTGGGGCTTCAGTGGTGTAATTGGGGTACATTTTGTGAGGTGGGGGGAGGGCATCTGGAGATCCTAATTCTCTAGAGGGGGCACTACGTAAGTTCCGTCGCTGTTAAAACACACCGACTAAGGCAGCTTTGATGTTTTCCTTCTCTAATTTTTGAGGTGGGGTGGGTTATGGAGGACACAGGGCTCGAGGGGGTGCTCTCCACACTCAACTTTAGTAACACCACTGCATGGTGTAGAAGTATGGCACAGGCATGAATATGAAGCCGTGATTTAAAACTTTTATCTATCATTTGCTTCATGATTTCAGTTTTTACAAATTGGGAGCAAGACAGCTAAATTCAAATATGCATGACACAATTGCAGTAAAGTATCTTGCTCAAGATATAAGTACCCCAATATACCAATAGGGTTTAAACCCACATTAACCCTAACCCTCCTCAATCCTCCAACAGATGAAGGATTGAGGAGGGTTAGGGTTAAGAAAAGCCAGCCTTTTACTGGCCTCTATGGGGTCTATTTCCAGTAGTCCTCATATCTCTTAATTCTCTTTTTTGATATTTGTTCAACTCTTTAAGGGATCAGGGTTAAATTAAAATGATTAGGCAGCACCTTGATATTGTATATGGGATGGACGTTGCGCATGGTGTCCATGACTATCTTGTGCACGTCTCGCAGCCCCTTGTAGGGTCCCACTGCTGCCACCGTGTTCCCCTGCACCATGACGTAGCACTGGGTCAGCAGCTCCACAGCTTTTAGCGTGGAGCCGTTGGGACCGATGAGACGCTGGCGCCGCTTGACAAATCGGTCCTTGTTGCGCACCAGCCGGCCGATTTTGACGACCTCGGCCGAGATGCCGTCCTCCAGGACACGGATAGCCTGATGAGAAAAGTTCCAACCCAAAGAATGTAATGGGGAAATAACGAAACAGCATTATGGGATTGTAGGTTACATTTTTTTGTGAGGCAGGGAAGTATTTCATAGAGAGAAACACAAGCAGCTGCAAAGTTTCATCCTCACTCTCTTGACGGCTTTTTGACAGACAGCTAGATGAGTTAATATCCTCCACATGGAGGGCACTGGATGCAGGCCTTTACTTTCCAGCAAAGATCCCAAATGGAGTGATTGGAAAGTGCTCCTCTACACTGGCCTGGTATTCCTTGGAGCATGAGGTGGCCAATCACGTTGAAGTGTTTTTACAATAAAGCAGGGCTTAGGTCATCTTCCTTTGGTAAGGAAGAATGTGGCAAAGCAATGTTGAGTGTCGTGGTCTTGTGATTAAGAGCATCGGATTTGTAGTTGGCAGGTAAAGCCGCGGGTTCGAATCCAGCCTGGGGTCATGATGCATGTGCTCTTCGGCAAGGCACTTTGTCACTCATTGCCTCTCTCTCCACCCAGGAGTAATTGGGTACCCTGTGAGGGCAGAGATGGTTATTGCGGTTGATTTAGCTGCTTTGCACCGAAATGGCTGTATCCAGCAGTATACTCCCCAGGGAGCTGAGATGGTTTTTGGAATGTTTCATAGGCCCAGTGTGCAGGGGTAATAATAACGGAAACCGCTTTGATCCAAGTTTAAAGGGCACTTTAAAAAAAAGGTTTTATTATTAATGTTTGACAAAACCTATTTCGCATGTAAACTTTGAACTTCCAGTGGGGAAATTGGTGCTTCGAGTGAACATGGAAAGTTGCAATGGTCTTTACTTGCTTGTTTGGTACTTTCCGAGGCTTTTCCTTGTAACTTTTGACAGGTCAATTATAAACTTCATGAGAGGAACGTTGCAACAAGACACTATTCCAAATAAGATACAAGTGTTCTTGTTTTTTTCCACCATTAGCTTATTACTAGGTCCACAATGATCGCTCCTCACCTGTTCATAGGGCACGCTGCGTGCCAGGAGTTTGATCATGTCCCGGGCCTTAACGAGAATGAACGGGTCCCAGGTCTTGCGGGTGGTTGCAACGGTCATGCTGCCCTCGATGACATCAAGGGAGGCTTTCAGATGCTAATGAGAGGAACAGAAAAGTGCTTCACATGACTCTTGCAACCAATCACACAACAGCTGGCATGTGTGGGTGATACAAGGATTTACGACATCTCCATTATTAGTGAGCAGGTCAGAAGTGTGAGTCCAATGAATGCAAAATTGTGAATGTTTTTCTCACAGCACTGAGTAATAAAGCACTAACGGACAAATCCAGCATTAAATACTCACAACTGTACTCATTAAATATTCACAACTGTACTCATGGAAATGTATTCAATTTTATACAACAGTGCTGTGTATGCACTCACATGCTCACTCAGGGTTTTCTCCACCAAGGGCCAGCACTCCCGCAGGTATTTCTCCCTGTACTTTGGGAACAGCGTGGCAAAGGAGCTCTCCTCTAGCACGCCATGGGGGTTGTCTTCCGGGGTGAACTTGGGCTCTTCCCATCCCGGGGGGACCTCAAGCAACTGGTCTTGTTGGCTGGCACTCTTTCCTATGAATACATCATTTTGTGCACATTCATTCCAGATGAAGCTTCAAAGCAACAGTTTTACTTTAGGTATTCCCCTCACCAGAAGCCTAGACTGACAAATTTAATATTGTGACTGAGTCACTGTCTCCCTATTGTATTTGGTACTTCTTTATTACTTCTTATAATAAGAGAAAAAGGATGAAGCAAGAATCAAATTTACATGTTGATTTAGTTTATTTAAAAGAATTGTTTAAGTCAACAAATGTGATATGTTTGAAAATTTAGTAATAATTAAACCAAAATGAAAGAATTTTTCACTGAATTTTAAGAATTAAACTAGTACATTCCAATTGAAAAAACAAGCATAAATAACCAAATGTTTCAATACCATTGAAATATTTGTTTATTTTATTTTCTCTTATTAATACTAAAATTTTGACCACTTCTTTAAAAACAAGCACTAAATCCAACAAGGTTCCTATGCCCTATCTCCTCAGCAAATCATTACTATTAGGAGGACCCTTATCACATTAAAATGCATGTAACACATTGAAGGTCTACCACAACATTCCAAGTGGGGCGTTCATTACCATTAACACCCTGTTCCTACGAGGAAGCAAAGTCACAACTCACCTAAATAATTTGGCGGTGATGTCCTCTTTCATGTCAGAAAAAAAAGAGGGAAGGGCTTCGGATTTTGAAGGATATTTTGAGGTAAAACGACAGCGTAAATCATGCGTTGAAGAGCTCTGAACGAAGACGAATCAGCGCATGTAGTCTGGTTCCTTGACCCGGAACCATGAAAGTTTCTTTTATGAAATTCAGTATATCCACAATGGCTAGGTCGGGAACAAGACGTGAAACAGATGGTGTGATGCAGTTGTCTTTTGCCAAACTCTGGTTTGCAAAAATCTGGTTTTCTTGCTTAAATTTTGTCAAATTTAACTGAACTAGAGCTAGGCCTACTAGGATTGAGGGATGGATCCTCAAGGTCTGAATGTCAGTTAGTTTGAAAAGTGGACTTTGTTTTCCTTATCATAGAAACAGGGTGCTAATGGTAATGACCCCCCCCCAAGTAGGGGCCTAGGCCTGCCAAAACTGGTTAAAATTTCACATTTTCTGTCTTCATCCTCCCAAAACTTAATGGTTCAACAATGTTCAGTGTGTTGGAGAAGACATCCAAAGGCCATTTTAACGCCTAGGCCTAAAAGTAAAACATTAAAAATTTCAACGAAAATCAACTGGCATGACTGGCAGGCCTAGAGGTTTTCTAATGCAAGAATAGTCATGTGCTGCATATGTGATCGTGATGACGCCGCATTACCCCCAGAACTGTGGGGTCCGACGTCTCCCACGGGGCGAACGTCGGACCCCACATGGGGTAGACATGGGTCTACCATGCGCATGCCGCATCAATTCAACAGTCTTGTTAAAGCAAGAAATTCTGTGCTCTGCAGAGTAGGTCTAATTACAGACTGCAAATCTACATTAACGGAAAGTTGTTTTTACAAGAATACGAATGAATGTTTTTAAAGGTAGAAGTTAGCGCTATTACTATAAAAAGAAGTGGAAATAAAATGTGCCTCACCAGACAACTTTTCAGCCATGGAGGTCGCCATTTTGAATAGCTCCCTCTTTAGACTGGGATTGACAACAACATTGGGCTAGGGGCGTTACCGCATTGAGAAAACAGAAATATCGCTTTCTTTTTTGTTCGTGCTTGAAATAACTTTTACATCAACCTAAGCACAGAACAAAGGCACCAAAGCGAATATCTACGAATAGATTTAGTGGCATTCTTTTGTTCCTAATTTTCATAATCTGGATAAAAATAAAAATGATTCTTTTCCTTTTTTTCGGGGGGGGGACAGGTCACATAAACGTTGGCGGCATTGAAACAGTAAAATCGCCAAGATTGTAAAACAAAAATAATAAATTGCTTTTATTTTCCATTCAACCAGCCAACAGTTAGGATCATTTGCTGAACTACCAACTGAGCTTTAGCCAATGGCCAGGACAAATTTGCCTCTCTGGGCGGAATAAGTAATATAACTCCCATTAAACAGCAGACTAACGGTCGGGAAACATTTGCCTAACTACACACTATGCCATGCAGCTAACGGTCACAAAACATTTGCCTAACTATGTACTGTGTCAGCAGACGGTCAGTAACTTGTGCCTAACTGCGTACTGGGCTAGCTGTTATAAAGTGTTTGCCTAGCTCATCGAAATAACAGTCCTGAAAAAACCACCCAACTTTGCATTAAGTTTATTAACGGTCAAAGGCAATATGCCTTTTTTGTAATGCTGTTTTTTAATTCTGAGCCAACTAACGACTAAGAAAAAGTTGCCTATAACTTGCCTTTGAACCTTTCAGTTTTCACCATTGCCTCACGCTGGCTAAGTGGAAAGTTAGGCAAATACTTCCTCACTGTAAACTGGCTCAGTCAAGGGTTAGGCAAATTGTTTCGTGACCGCTCGCTCCTCTTCAATAGATAGTTAGGCAAATT